AAGGATGCTTGTTCAAGTAAGGAATGATGATAATCGATAACATATGATTTATTTCAATGGACCTTTGTGCATTCAGTGCACTAAATGTTTGCACTTTGTTCACAGATCTTTCGGTATCACACAACAAGTCTATCGTCCCAGCCAAGGTTATCTCAGTAAAAAATCTTCAGTCATCTGATTCGAGGTGAGATTCTGACATTGACCACACAGTCAAAGGATGAGAAAAATAAGATTTCTAGTTTGATGACGTTTTATATGATATAATGATAATCTATGTTGACATGTCAAATTTCAGTCGTGCAACTCTATTAGTCCGCCTAGACACCAGCGACAATGAGGACTTCGCATACAAACCTGGCGATCATTTGTCGATCTTTGCGGCAAATAGAAAGGAATTGGTTCAGTCTTTATTGGACAATCTCAGTGAATCACCTGATCCTGATCAGCCAATCATCGTCGAGGCCAGCCGAGAATTGTCAGGTAGGACGTCATATTCTTAAAATAATCGAATATATCTATTAGTGGTTGACACACTAAGTACTTTATTTCTAAGAATCCAAGGGAAAAACATTTATGGCAATTCCTTAAAACGATTACGATTTCCTGGGAAAAATAAATAATTCCGTTTTAAATCTTGTTTTGAAATAAAATTTGATTTTTATTTAACACCACAAGAATTCGAGATGACTGCGTCGCAATGTTGATGATGTATTCAAAAGAATAAATTTGACGTCAAGTGCGGAGAACACAATACCTCGGGGCTTAAAGGGTGTATACCAAACGATAAGTTAAGCGTCCATTGCTTTTAATCAACTGCAGGTCCCTTTGGAATGACTAAGAAATGGGAGAAACTTCAACGATTCCCAGTTCCTATAACACTAAGAGAGGCATTCAGTCGCCATATTGATATTACTGGTACACCCTCTCCACAGATCCTCAACTACCTTGCGACACAGGTAACCCAACCTACTTTATCGTGGAATGCTGAATGGCATGCATTAGTCAAATCGGCTTTTAAGTTAAAGGCGATGTGCGCATGCGCAACTTGGCGTGCATGCCTCATCGTTAGGATATGTTATTGGATTTCAACCAAACACTCAGCGTTCATTTACATGGAAGCGAGTCAACCGTTGATCTGAGCGTGCAATTATAGATACCTTTGGTAGGTTTGAAAGAATATTTCTATCATTGCACGCTCAACGGTTGTCTCGCTTCCAAGTAAAGGCATGGTTACCTTTCAAGATGGCGCAGTTAACCGTAAAGGAGACTATTTCTTTTTCATACCTTTTTTTTCTCAAGGCTACCGACCCTGAGGAAAAAGCATTTTTAGAAGAACTAGGGAAGGTAAGTGAAATACAAAAAAAAAGTCAATTCTTTTTCTGTGAGACTTCTAATATCTAAGATAAAACCCAGCCTATGTCGACTAACGTTCTGTCCAAACCACTGTGATTCAGGGTGGAAGTGGGTACGAGAATTGGAGATATGACAAGCAGTCTAACATTGCCGAAGTATTGGAGGACTTCACGTCCCTTAAAGTCAACGCTGCTCTTCTATTGACTCAACTTCCCCTCCTTCAACCTGTGAGTATTTTGTACTAGGGAGTGATATATGTCTTGAAGAAAACGAAAGGAAAAACAAAAAACAAAAAATCAAGAACAAAAACAAAACCAAAAAAGAAAAACGCGAAAAATCAATCAAATATAATTTAATAAAATATTCACGTAGGTTCACGTTAACGGCRAATGGCAAACAGCAAACGGCACAAAAGATCATGTGAACTGCTTTTTGGGGTTTTACCGTTACAGTTTGCGACGCGATAGTGGGCTATATAGCTAGGGTTGCCATAATCGTGAAAAGGCTCTCTCTCAAATTACTACCAAAAGCATAAGGTCACTGGCACGAAATTCTTAGGTCATTCGTTAAGCTCTGCCGTTAGCCGTTTGCCGTAAACGTGATGCTTAAACTCTCATAAATCTAAATCATTCTTCATGGATGCAGCATCATGATCTTCTTGCAAATTTCCCCGGTGTCAAATGAACAACTTGATTATTTATTGCCAAATAACGGCTAAATTTGCGGAGCCTTTCAGTAGACTCAGTCTTCGTACACACGAAAACGACCTCTCTGCTTCTGTACTCCACAAAATGACTTTAATCATCAGAAGCTCCCTTACGTTTAGAAAAAAGATAGTTTTGTACCAGCGAATCAATTCATTTTCAAACTGGGTGATTGATTTGCGACCAKGCCTGCGTATGAATTCGCCAAGGTTGTAAGCCAGTGAGCCCRTGCATTTYTGTTAAGCGGTCATATTTGAAAGTGTARATAAAGRAAAGGGAAAACCMGCAGCTCTCCTTCCACTCAGATAAACAGTACAAGTCGTGTTAAATTTATTTACATATAACTAAACAAAATGATTATAGGATTAAACCTTTAAGAATTGAATGCTCATATGAAACATTTTCCACCTTAAATACACACGTGTTTTTCAGAAGGGAATTTAGTCGGTCTTTTTTCACGATGGAATTTTGTTTTGAGTCGTTTCGACATAAACAGTCGCTATCAAGACATTACGTGAAAAAACCCAGTCACCGTACTAGCTCTCGTTGTAAGGTCAAAGCTAGTAAATGTGTAACTGACCTGTTACATAACGTCAAATCGTCGAGCACGCTTGCGGCTTATTGCCGAAAATGCGACAAAGGATGAACTACGACAGTTGTTTGTACCACAAATAACAAACG